TGTATATATTTATATATACCACTGTCTATATTAATATGTCGTCAACTGTATATGTATATGTATATATATATGTATTATGCATCTTCACATATACCTCATGAACTATATATCTACAAATGCACATCTAGATACCTATGTTTCTTAGGTATCAATATATATATATATATATATATATATATATATATACGTATATATGTATATGTATATATATATATATATGTATGTATATATATATATATATGTGGGGCCACATTTTTTTGGCGGCTTGGCCTGGAAGACGCTGAGGGCCGTCTGCTTGGGCTCGGTGAATTCGGTATGCAGATGAATGAGCGGGTTCACGTTCAGTTGTATCTGCAAAGAACAATAAGCAGGTTGACTATGTATATAGATCATAGTGGACAATACCCGGCCTCCTTCTCATAGATCATGCCGAGTCCCGAGTTCGAGGTGCACAACTGCACCAGGGTGCGGTTTTCCGGAGCCTTCGTCCGCAGCTCCGGCCAGTCCACCGAGGAAAACCCTCTCTCCAAGGCCTGTCATCATGTGTATATATTTATATGTATATATATAAACACATATATATATATATATATATATATATATTATATACATGTAGTTCTATGTACCTGTTTACATATATATTTATATATGTATACACATGGACCAGTGGGGATACACCCACACTTCAAAACTTGCTGAGTAGAAACGTGCGACCGTAGCTGTGTAGAGTACTTGAAGACTATGAGCCCAAGACCCATCTCTCCACGAATACAGGCCTCGTAAAGCCTCATGGAGAGGCTTGGCCCCAGCGTGGAAACATCCACCTCTTCGGGTTCCGGCTCCATCGCTGGCAAAAGAAGCTCCCACAAATAACTGGAGCAGCAAAAGCTGCAGCACAATCCCGCAGTCTATGTCTTGCCTGTAGCCTATGTATATATATATATATGTATGTATATATATATATATATATATATATATATGAGCACACTAAAAATAATGTATGGGTATACATTATAAAGCTATAAGTTTTGACATCTCGAATGTGCACATGTGCACATGCACGTCACAAGATGATTACTCATGATGACTTGATCAATATGAATATATATATGTATATATATATATATATACATTATACTAAACTACCTGATTCCACATATATATATATATATACATATATTAAATTCATATTCATGTTGCTCGTCTAGCAACGTAAAACCCAGGCAGCACAGGGGGGGGCACACCTCGCTGCCGCTTGGTCTGCCGCCGGAAGTCTTCCAAGGCTCGCTTCATCTCGAAACCATCGCGGGATCACCTGCACGGGTTCGGAAATTCTGCGGGGGTTATAATTATGTACTTTAGGGTTTAGGGTTCAGGTTTTAGGGTTTAGGGTTTTAGGGTTTAGGGTTTTAGGTGTGTGTTTGGAGTAGGTTTCAGGCTGGGTGGAGCGGATTGGAGCAGGATTAAGTCAGGAGCGGTTGTTGCATGGCTTCTGGCTAAAACTTTCGGGTAGGAGTTGTAAGGGCGGATTGGGTTCATGGATTCGGCCTAGGGTTTTGGGTTTTAGGTGTGTCAGGTCTATGGCTATGGCCATGCTTTCATGTTTGGAGTAGGCTGCAGGCTGGGTGGATCGGTTGTTTGAAGCGAGGTTAAGTCAGGAGCGGTTGTTGCATGGGTTCTGGCAAAAACTTTCGGGTAGGAGTTGTAAGGGCGGATTGGGTTCATGGCTTCGGCCTACCATTGTGCATATTCGTATAAATAATATATATATATATATATATATATATAGCTCAATCCAACATACATATATAAAGATACATAATGTATATATGTATCCAAATATAGATACAAGGCATCCTTCACACTTTCAGGTACATTGCATGTATGTATGTATGTATATGTATGTATGATATATATTTATATATATATATATATACACACCTCTACATGATCAAGGACCCTCGCTCTTTTTCTCTGCCCCTGCCGCCCGGGTTCACCTCTCGCCGGCGATATAGCCAGAGCCATCCTGGCCAATCACCACCTTGCCTTTTGGCCTCCATCTCGAGAGGGAAAACGAAGCCTTCGGCGGCGGACCCTCCACTGCAGCCTTGGGTCCAGCAGCCTTGGCTCCAGCAGCCTTGGCTCCAGCAGCCTTCGGTCCAGCAGCCTTCGGTGGCGGGTGGGCGGGCGGAACCGGCCTCTTTGGCATTGGCTTCGTCACCACGTTCTTCGCCTTCGGCACCTTCGGCACACGTGGCGGTGGCCTCGACTTGCTCTTCGCCCTTGCCCCAGTCTCCCTCTTCGCGGCCTTCTTCTCTGGAGCCTGCCCATCCGGACGAAACCAGATGTCCTGCACGTTCCTCTGGGCCCCCCTCTTGTCCGCCTCCTCGACATCCGAAGGGTTCCAGGAGACCTCCTCCTCCTCGAGCTCTTCGTCGAGCCCCTGCAGAGCAAATGTACTATATAACAAGTATTACAATAATATAATATATGTGTATATGTATATATATATATATACAGATACATATATATATATATATGTGTATATATACATATATATATATATATATATATAGATTTACAGATACAGGTATATAGTAAGTTACACAATATATTCAGTCCAAGCTGCTGGCGACCGGGAGCCACGAGGTCTCGAACCAGTGGCAGCAGCTGCAGAGCCCCGTCGAGGTGGAGTCACCTTTCGCCCGTTTCGGTAGCTGTTCTTTATTTCATAACTATATCAGATGTACATGTCTTCCTGCTGCCACAGCTGCTGGAGGAGCTGCCGCATCCTTCTTCTCCGGGGTCATGTTGCCGGGAACGGCCTCGATCCCAACATGCTATATACACGTATTATACATATATATATGCCTAGATACATACACATATATGTATGTAAATATACATATATCAATTTGTAATGTGTGGTGTATATATATATACATGTCTATTCAACATATACATATATAGCTACTTGTATATACATATACGTATACACACATCTTGATCACTATATTACAACCGCACTAACAAATATCTAATACTGTTGCTGCCAGAGTCACTGGAGCCATTGCATCATCCTGAGGCTCCTCAGGCGGTGGTGGCGGCACCGGAAGCCCAGGAGGTGCCGGCTCCGAAGGCTCGGGCGGAGCTGCAGCTGTCGGCTCCTGTGCAGCCGTGTTTAGCCAAACTGATTTAAGTCATGCATCGCTATATACCATATACACTTCCAAACTTTGTGCGGGTACTGCCTCTGTCTTCGCAGGGATCGCTTCTGGCAGTCCGGAAGCTCTGACGTCATCACCCTCAGCCCGAGTCATTCTATGGACCTATTCTCTGTCCTCTTGTTGTATACTACAAAAGCAAAAAAAACATGCATATGTACATGTAAATATATATATATATATATAGAAGCTCTATATATCTCAGTCAGTAGCGAGTAAACTATATTGTTTGCGAAGCGGCAGCTGCAGCCTTCGGGGCATTCTTCGCCAGGTCCGGTGCGACCTCTGTTCGCTCATTTGTATACTACAAAAGTAAAAAAACATACATATGTACATGTAAGTATGTATATATATATAGAAGCTCTTTAGATCAGTCAGTAGCGAGTAAACTATATTGTTTGCGAAGCGGCAGCTGCAGCCTTCGGGGCATTCTTCGCCAGGTCCGCTGCGACCTCTGTTCGCTCAATTTGTATACTACAAAAATTTAAAAAAAATACATATGTACATGTAAATATGTATATATATATATATAGAAGCTCTATAGATCAGTCAGTAGCGAGTAAACTATATTGTTTGCGAAGCGGCAGCTGCAGCCTTCGGGGTCGTCGCCAGGTCCGGTGTGACCTCTGCTCGCTCATCGTGTGTATATACACATTATACACACGAACACATCCGTATATATGTGGTTCTCTTGCCGAAGAATCGCTAGCAACCATGACATTTATGATGCATAATATATATATATCTATACACACATATATATATATATACATTATATATTATATTAATATATCGAAATATATTAATATATAGGGGTAGACAGATGTGCATAAATTAATTCGTGAATTAAGACTGCCTCCATAGTATCTTGACCAGGTGCATTGGGACCCGCAGGCGGTGGTCCAGGTGCATTGGGAGCCGCAGGCGGTGGTGGTGCTGCTCGTGGGGCCTGCATAAATATAAAAGAGCTCAGCAAAAACATACGTGGTACTGTATATATAACAACAAAAAGGCCAGCCGAGCTTATTATTTGCTGCCAGAGTTACTGCAGCAGCTCCTTCAGATCCTAAACTCGCCCCAGCATCATGCACCACGGGAGAAGGCGGAGGTGCTTGGGCTGCTCCTGCATCGACTTGGATATATATATATATAGGAACATATATACATATATAGTGTGCTATTTAACTATGAGATACCGTATAATCTATAGACATATAATGAGGAAAAAATATATGTATATATACATATATGTATACACATATAGTTAACATACGTATTTGTTGTGTAGTGCTGCCACAGTTACCGCAGAAAGCCTTTCAGCTTCATGAGAAGCTTCAGGGGCGGCAGTCGTGGCAGGTCCATCCTCCGATTGATTCAAGATAAGTCCCAGCATATGAATTCGATTAGATATTAACAAAAACCAAGAATGACTGCTGCCGCCACAGCTACGGCAGCACGTTCGCCAGGCCAGACCCCAGGCTGAGCACCGAGGTTCCCGGGCTGAGCCTGGTTCCAATGTATATAAAGACATACATATATATCTAAATACATATATATCTAAATACATAAACCAAAAAAAAAAATATATATATATATATATATATATATATTCTAGGCAGCGAATATCAACTGTAAACAGTTCTCTGCAAAACTTGACATGTATCTTCATATATATATATATATATACATATATATATATATTCAGAAAGATAATGTATATATATATGCTTATATATATGTATGTATATAAAGGCTTTACTGTGCAGCCATGGGTACCAACAAGTCGCCCGGTCGCACCACTGACCCAGGCGGCTCCAAAAAAGGCGGAAACTCCGGAGGCCATGGCATAAACGGAAGCCCGGGGTACCTGTCGACACCGACGTGGTTGTACCCGCGGACATTCATCATCTCCACCTCCGGGACGAAGCACAGCACCCAGCGACCCCGCAGCAGGGTGACGCCTTGCCGCTGCTCATCGCCAGCAGTGCGCTCGGCCATGGCGAAGTGCTGCAAAATGCAGCTTTAGATCTAGAGCTATGCCTATAAATTAAGGCTCATGATGCATGAGCTGATGTATGTAGATATCCTGGTATCGTATGTATATCATATATATATATATATATGGTAGTAGTCGTATATATCTACTTAATTAGAGATCTCGACGGATCCGTCCCCTGCCGGCTTCAGCTTGGAATCTGTATATAATATATATATATATATATATATATATATTATATTATATATAGGTATACATAAGCTACACACACGTATAGTATATATCTCGCTAGTGTATGTGTATGTATGTATATATATATAATATACGTATTCAACTATGTGACATAACATATATGTCTATTTAATTTTCCAGCTGCTCCGGCCAAGGATCCGAAGGGAAGATCTCGACAAGCAGGGCTCAGACAAACGGAGACTTGTCTGTCTACAAGTCTCCGTATATATATTGTTGTACATATTCTAGGACCATGCCTGTGCACTAACAAATATATATAATCTAGGCAACCTAAACATGTACATGACCCAGCGGTCTGAGCCCATGCTTGTAACTGCAGAAGCACACATGTCTGCTCCACACTCAGCACCGGAAACCCGCATTATGCCAAAGCCCAGATCAATAAAACTACATTAACATCTCCATGTATTCGATATATATATATATATATACAAAATATATTTCCCCGAAGACACAACTCCCCTGAAATCGCTGAAACATATTATAACACTGAAACCTCATCCCATCCACTGCTTCCGGCCTCGGCAAAAGGAAGGCCGCAGCTGGCGGGCACCGACCATGAATTACGAATTATTGGGAGCTCAGGCTTCTGTCATATATATATGGCTATGCATGCAGTCTACGTCGTCTGTATGCACACGTGTTTGTTTGATACGGGCCTCGGTGCAGTCTGGAGTGCGAGACATCTGGGGAATTCTGGCCAGTTCCTAATTTGAAAAACATATTCCTTGAATAATCGTGACTGCACTATATATATCTAGGATCATGGTCTTCCTAATTGTACATGTATGCCTGCATGCTCCTGGGCGGCGAAGCGGCGGGTGGTTGGAGACTTCCAAGCCTGTGCATTAATGCAAGGATTCGATATATATATATATATATCTATATATCTCTATAAAAATCGGTATCTATTTATACATATATATATAATATGTATATATGTATATATATGTAGAATGATACATATGTATATATATATAAAGTAAATATAAAAATATATATTTATATATATGTATACATATTTGTTTTCGTTGTTGATGCTGCTTGGTGGCTTCTGTGTCGGACAAATCCCTATATATATACATATATATATATATATATATATATATATATACATTATATACATATCTGATACACATAGCAAAACCCGTGCAAGAATCTATAAATCAATGTTTTCTCAATTCAACCAACGTGTCGGAATTTAATATTTTTTCAAAAAATCAATGAAGTCAAGCAAGCTCGCTATAAATGGCATCTTACCATGCATGTGTAATTAGAGGAAAGCATGCCATAGGCTAAAGTATATGAAATCCTAGGACTTTCATGCATCACACACATGCTCCGTCCGGAACCACAAAAAACAAGGCCTTGCGTTGTTGTGCTTACCAAACCAGCACTTTGGTCATATTTGAGGTCTTCGGATGCTTAGGGAATGGGAAGCCTGTCCCGCATGTGCGAGAGTGCCAAGCTTGCATGACAGCATATATGCGTTTTGTTTAAAACCAAGCATGCGAGCATCCTGACTGGCTGCCCCCCTTTAACCCCGGCTCCCCCCCGCCCCGCCGCCCATATTATTTTGTTGTAAACCAGCCATGCGAGCATCGTGATTGCGAATGGGGCCCGCTGTTTTAAGCCGCGCGCAAGGTTGCATGACAGCCTATATAGGAGTCGTTCTTGAAACCCGCGATGCCTGAGATGAGTCTTTTTGAAACAAAGCACCATTCAGACATCGAAATCAAATCAGCCAAAACTGTGCACGGCACCACATGGGGCGACACATTCAGCCGGCATCCTGTGTAAATAATAGGACGTGGGGGCCCAAATAAGAACAAAAAGAACCAAAAACAACAAAAACGGACCGAAATAAAACTCCACCCGTACATAGTAGTAGTAGTAGTAGTAGTAGTAGCAGCAGGAGTAGTAGTGTAGTATAGGTAGGGCGATGTGGAGGTGAGCTGAGAAGACGTATCTTTCCTAGAAGGAATATATGGGTGGAACATGCCTTGATTCTGTCATACAGACATGTTTCCGACCGAATGCTTGTCTGTAGTATTCCGTCATCACTATTACGGAAGACATGCGTTTGAGGGGTGTGTAGTACGTGCGAAGCAAGAAACCCCGGCACGCGCAACAACACAACGGCGAAACAAAAGCAGTAGTTTTGCTTCGCATCGCTGTAAGGTCCAACCTTTCGATACTCAACTGTCACCTGCTATGCAGTCAGTCGACGCGCCATGCAGGAGCCAAGCAAGTAGTAGTAGTAGTAGTAGTAGTAGTAGTAGTAGTAGTAGTAGTAGTAGTAGTAGTTGTCGCAGCAGTAGTAGCAGCAGTAGTAGTAGTAGTAGTAGTCGTAGTAGTAGTAGTAGTAGTCGTAGTAGTAGTAGTAGTAGTAGTAGTAGTAGTAGTAGTGCTAGTAGTAGTAGTAGTCGTCGTCGTCGTAGTAGTAGTAGTAGTAGTTGTTGCTGTTGTAGTGGTAGTAGTAGTATAGTAATAGTATAGTAGTAGTAGTAATAACCATGATGATAATAAACAAGCGCCCGGGGAGCGCAACGACAGCGAAAAAAAACCGCGCCCCGCAGGCACGACAGCCAAAAAAACAACGCGCCCGCAGGGACAGAGCCAAAAAAAAAAACGGCCCGCAGGGACGACAGCAAAAAAAAAACGCGCCCCGCAGGGACGACAGCAAAAAAAAAAAACGCGCCCCCAGGACTACAGTAAAGAAAACACCCACGATGTAACACCCAAAAAAAAAAACGTCCCCGCAGCACACAGAAAAAAAAAAAAAAAACGCTCCCCGAGGCACGACAGCAAAAAAAAAAAACGCGCCCCCGCAACGACAGCAAAAAAAAAACGCGCCCCCGCAACGACAAAAAAAAAAAAACGCGCCCCCACCACGACAGCAAAAAAAAAAACGCGCCCCGCCACGACAGCAAAAACGCCACGACAGCAAAAAAAAAACACTCTTACCGCTTCACGGACTAGGGTTCCATAATAGGGCCCCCTTAATTAAGCATACTATAGGGTTCCGTATTGGATTCCCTCATAGTCTCCATTGTGCTTATGATGGTAGGATAACCCTACATTCGTTAAGTCAGAACCCTGGTCAAGCCTTTGTCCTTTCTGCCGCTTCCGTGAAATCCTTGGCATGCGGAGCTTGTGGTCTGTATTGGGTCCTTCAAACGTCTTGAAGCTCCTGTGTTGGTTCGGGTGGCTGCCGTTCTGTTACGAAATCTTTGGCCGAATGATGACGGACGAGTAAAAGGTCAGATTTGCGTCTATGCAGATCTGAAGACACAGCTGATTGATTTCTCTGAGAGGCCAACCGCTTTTGCAGCTCAGTTGCGATGCACGTTGACAGACCTGCGCGACGTTTGATGCTTGCGTTTGGATTTGTTCGGACGTGTGTTGCGTCGGTCAAGAAAGACCATGTGATCGCCGGCTGTTTCAAGCTACCCCAAACCCTCAATCCCAAGCTTCCGAAGCCATGACCCTGAATCCTACCCTCATGTGAGCCGTGGAGAATTCTGCTGAAGGATCTGGCATGGCTCTAGACACCCCAGCCAAGAAGGTTTAAAGTAAGCACCAAAACCCTCTAGCGTCAATCGTCGACAGCCTCAGAAACATCCCCTATATACCCCTAAGCCACAAGACCTCGAAGCCCTCAAAAGCAAACCTCCCAAACCCCTAGACCCTCGAACCTCGAAGCCTGTCGACCGGGTTGCATGATGAGCCTCGAGCGTTACAGGTCCGAGATTCCATCGTGCGGACACCAAAGGCGAAAGTCTGAGAGCAACCGGAAGAAGCTTCAACCCTGTAACATTCACCCTGAGCCGCAAGCATTTAAACCCTAAACCCCTAAACCCCTAAACACTTTAACACTGACCCGCAAACGCTTAACTGCAAACCCTTGACTCTTATCCCTAAACTGGAGGCCCTAAACCTTAATATTGCTAAACCTGAGCGTGGAAGACGACGTACAGCGCCTGCGATGTCGGTTGACTGTGACGGGCATCCGTGACCCGTGAGAAGACGTGAGAATGGAAGAAGAAGCAGAAGAAGAAGAGGGAGGCATAAATGCGTGTGACGCTCTTTTTTTTTGTTGGTCTCTCTTTCTCTCTCGGTACATGTATATGTGTGTATATATATAGATATATGCATAAGTATGCGCTTGTTAGTACAACTTTCAAGACTAGAGTATCATATAGCATACTACAACAACATCTAACAAAGCCTATTGTATACATATGTATATATATATAGATATTGCGCGTATGTACGTTATGTATATGTACGGGGGAACGGTGAGCACTGCTATGCGTTCTGTACCATTAATCATGGTTCTTTGGGCAGCGTCCAAGATAATCCTTTTCAATTCGACGGTTCGACGTCGGGAGTTGAGGGTTTCTACGGGAGGTCTGCGGTTTAGGGCCAGGGCTTAGGGCTTAGGGTTGAAGGTCTATCGTCTAGGGTTTCAGATTTCAGGTTGAGAGTTTAGGGGTTGGGGTTTCGGGCTTGGGGTGGTGCAGGTCTACGGCTTAGGCAGGGTTCAGGAAGCTAAAGCCCTTCCTCGTCATCAAGGGTTCGGCTCGTGGTGTTAGAGTTTGCGTTTAGAGGGTAAAAAGATTTTTAAATGGGGGCTTGGCGCTGTTTGCTGTTTAGGGGCTTGTGGGATGTGCGAAACCAACGTTTCGGTTGTGAGCTACCTATAGTATCCATTGTAGTTCCTTTTTTTGGAAACTCTATGGTAGGA